TATATGCAAACAAAATTTTTACTGGATGAGCTAATGTTCTTTGCACTTAATGCAAAACATAGCTCATGTTATGAGGTTTAGATAGAATGCTTGATAGTTTTCCTGTGACATTGGCTTCACACAAAAAACTGTGAAAAAAATCAGGTTTTTCATACTTCTTGAAATAAAAACTTGAATAACTTACTCATTTTTTCTCCAATTTTCTTCAAACATCTCACAAAAAATTTACCATCATGCAAAAGATAAAACAGTGTGGTTTTAGTCCTGCTCACTTCCCCACGTATAATGAAAGTCACAAAAAATTGTTCAAAAAGTCTGTTTTTCAGCCATAACTCTCTGGTTTTTCATCCAATGCTCTCCAGATTTGCCATGTAAATTACATATGACACCCAAATTGTCTTGCATGAATGTTTGGTTTAGATAATTTCAGTTAAGTGGACAAAATCTGGGACAGACTAGGTCCAAAATCAGCTTTTGCCATTTCGCCAATAGTTTCTTCATATGATTCCATCATAAATTGGCAAACAACCTTTGATGCAAAGATTGTTTGAGAATGATTAAATAAAGAAGCATTAAAAGGTAAAACTTCCTGAAGAACATCTTATTAACCCTAGCTTTACAGTAAATGTGCAAAGAAGGTGGGGGGCATTCAGACGTTTGCACTTGCAAGTGTATCAGGCTCTGATGCTTCATCCCTGTTTTTGTTTGATTATTAGATTTGTGAACAATGCTATACTATTTGAAAGTTATTAAGGCTATAGTTATTAAGGCTATAGGAAATTTACTGAATATCTAAAACATTGAAACAATTTAACCCCGAGCAATGACCACACAGGGTTTTATTGATGGAATTCCTTTATTAAGAACAATCAAACACTTGTGAAGGACATATTGTAAAAAAGATGGGGTGAAGTAGCTTAGTATACCAACAGATGATGCATGTAAGCGGGGACACAGACAGACTTTTCTAGACAGGGTGGTGTGGGTATACAGGGACTGTGGTTATACAATTGCAGCCATGTACACCTGGGCAATGCTGGGTACCTCGGCTAGTTCCTATATATATTTTTCCTTTGGATCTTACCATCGCTTTGTATATTGTGTTATTTTGTTACAGTTACCATTTACTTAGCATTTGCACTTTATTTGTGGTTACAGGTGGGTGAAATGGGTATTTTTGCTGTACTGATGATTTTTCTGTTGGATTTTTAGTGTGTTTTTGGTATAGCTATGGCTAAGTTTTATACTATTTTTGTAGAGTATTTGGTGCAGTTTACTGATTTTGGGAAGTGTTTCTCCATGAGTTTGATGAATATTTTACCTATATTTTTTTCCATTTTAATTGTATGGTAGGTTGTGCCATATGATATTTCTTTTTTTCTTGGATTGTTTGTTCTTATAGGTGTAAATGTAAGTGTTGCTGAAAAACCAGTCTTTTGTTTTATTTCATACTTGCTTTTTTGCTTCATTGAACATATTCTCATATATATATATATATATATATATATATATATATATATACATGCTATAACTGATTAGGATATGTAGATGGTGTAATGGATAGCAGTTTGGAAAGTGAAATTGGAGAGCTGCACTTGAATTTGAGTCAGGTTTGTTGCATTTAATTATGTGATAACATGCTTCTTAGGAAAGGTATGAATTCATTTCCTCCTCCTGTGGGTTAAATAATAGGACTTATATTTGGAAAATCATTATTCTTAAAAAACACTGTTAACGAAATATTATATGCACTTGCAAAAAAAGAATTATTCTTACAGTTCAAAATATGTTTGGGCTTTAAATAAAGCAAAAAGGGTTGATAAGCTGTAAAAAAATCAATCAACTATAAATAATTAGCTTATATAATTGGTCAACTAAATTGTCAACAAATGTCTTACACTATAAGAAAATACTTTTTTTAATTTTTGGAAAGAAATTGAGTAAGGAATGCACAAATACAAGATCTTATTTTCTTTCCTCATAAATTTCATTTTGATAATGTATCATCGAGTACTAAGCCCTTCTTCATGCTAAAGAGAAAATAACTCTTTTGGCGAAATTATATTCTTTTATATCTACGACATTTACCATTTTTATCACTAGCATAACTATAGGATATAAACTCCCATATTTTACAGCTAATAAGTGAAGCACAAACAAGTAAGAGACACCTACAAATAAATTTTACTAAAATCAGTAGATACAAAAACCTTTTTTACAATTCTGTACAAACACAGCTCCAAATTAAATAAGTGGTTTCTGGAACCTGATTGGATAGAACAAGTCACGTGATGTGCTCTCTACTATATCCATATGGTTGAATTCCAAATGACCTAGAATAGGTCAGGTCTTGGGTTACTGAGTACATTCCCATTCAAAACTTAGCGATTTGGAGCTGACCCATAACAATAAAAATGGTTTGTCAGGAACAGTCAAGGACCAGATCTGCAATGACAGTCAGCGAAACAGACTAGCCTCGATCAACAACATAGACACATGTACCATAACAACGCATATGCCAGCAATAATTTTTTTACATACAACATCACAATGAAAGTAAGTCTTGTCTCACCTCTCTTTGTTCACTGTTTTTAACATTACTGCTATCACACGCAATCAGTCAGCAGTCATACATTTCATTAGTGTGTGCTTCATGCACACATACATATTGGTGTACCATACCACTTGATTTCCTCACTTGCAACAAAAACATTTCAAAACTTTGCATACTCACTTGCAACAAATCATTTTGAACAATCAAACTATTGGTCTTTTCATGGCCACAATGAAGAACATTGATTTTTAATATGTAAGTACATGCATTTGACTGTATAAATGTTATTGTCATATTTAGCTTGTTCTTCTTCCTTTTCTGCATAGATCATTTTTTTGTGTTGCATAAAATAATTGTGTTGTATTTTGTGGACACAACACTCATATTTTTTCTCTTAAAATCTTAGTAGACTGACCTCACACAACTATATTTTCAGAACTTTTGGTTTTTTAATTATTTTCTATCTCAGTATTTTGGACAAGAAAAATTTTAAAATTAAATTAATAACATATTGTGAGATTACAAATCTTTTCTCGAATTTTCATTCTTGCATCCTTTTACTTTATGAACCTGTTTATTCACTTTTCTTTCTTTTTTGTCTTACAAATACAATAAATATTTCTGTTGAAAAATGATCACTATCAATTCTTGTATCAATAGTCCAATACTACCTTTGGTTAATATTAATTACAATATAATGAAGGTGTTTAAATTTTTATCACTGAAATAACTCATGTAAATTTTCCTGCATTTTGGACATTAAAGAGTAGACCAAAAATGAAAATGCATTCTTTGATAAAGTTCCAGACAATTACACGGTAAAAGAAAAAAATGTAAACAACAAAGAGTCAATATTTTTAATAATAGTTTCATAAAATTTGTATTAAATGCATCAGGAAGTTTGCATTGTACTCTACAATAGTAGAAAAGCTTACCCTAATCTAGTACATCACAAGTTTGAACTAACTCCTATTGTAGTATCTAATTTAAGAATTTAGAGTTATTCCCCCTAAGTACCTTTTTCTATTATTGTTCTTTTCTATTGTCTTCAAAAATTGATATTTATCAATTTTCAGTCTAACTTAAATTAATTTCTTTAATGAACTGCAAGTTATTTAGTTAAAGTTTTCTAAAAAGTTTTTTTTTTATTATTTTATGATTAATAATAAAAAATACAAAACTTTTTGTTCGTTTCGTCTCGAATTAATACGAGTTCGTGTTTTATATCACCTATGATGGCAGCTTCCTTTATTTTCACACAAATGAATTGTCATCTCGCCATACATATTGTATTGAATGAATGAATACGTTTTCAGATGTAATGGTTATAAAAAAATGTTAATATCTGAAATACTGCACATTATTTTTTTCTCTTGTAAAGCTTAGAAATCAATATTCTTAATATTTCGACGACAATGTAAACGTAAAACACCAAATGGCGTTCGGCGATTTTGAAGGACTTCATAAAAATCGGTTTGTTTGTAGTACATCAAATTTGTGGTAAGGACTTGGTATTTTTACTTTAAGCCTTTCAAGTGTTTGTGGGTATGTTAATTTTCTTTTTTTCGCTGTGAATGAAATATCAAGTTATCCTCTAAATAAAAAAAAGCGGTAAAAGTTTTAAAACCTTTCATTTTTCTAATTATCCAAACTCTCATAACAACATCATCAAAAAATCTTTCGGTAATATCTTTATTAAACCATTCATTTTATTTTATTATAGACAACTAGTTTTATCATAAACATGACCAATCCCACTGTTTGTACGGATGTGTCGGATGCTGCAGAACTGAACGAAAAGTACGGGTTGTACCTAAAACCTATTGCTCGTATCAACGTCTCTGTCCAATTACCGCAATTGAAATGTCCAGGAAAGACCATTTCCAACTGGGAAGTAATGGAGAAGGTTAAAAATATGATTAAACCGCATATCTTTACTTCATTGAAGGTAACAAAGAGTACTCTTGAGTTTATTCGTCTGGAAGGCGAGGCAGAAAACAAAGCCAGCATTAAAACCCTAATTGGCAGATTAGATTCTAAATCTATCAAACTGAGCGGTTTTTCCGATATTCTCCGGGTGAGAGCGGCTGAGGCCAAAATTCACTTTCCAACTCGACATGATATGGCATCGTATTTCAGAGATGCTAAAAACATCAATGAAATGAAACCAGGAGAAAGACCGGACACTGTGTACTTCAAGGATCTCCCGACTCGGTGGTTCTCTAACAAAGCCGATCCTACCAAGGACAAACCAAGTGAAACTGTGTTGAATAGAGTTTTTAGCGTTTTTGGCGACATTCGGTGCATAGACATTCCAGTTCTTGATCCTTATAGAAAACAGATGACAGCTTCCAAACCTGGTACCATACAGACGTTTTCCTTTGGTCAAGATCTCACCTTTGAGGCGTACATTCAGTACAAAGAATATGTCGGCTTTATCAAAGCTATGGACTCCTTGAGAGGCATGAAGCTCATGTATAAAAGCGAAGATGATAAAGCTTTGACTGCTAATATCAAAGTAAGTAATTTTAATATTTCAAACTCGGTATCTTCAGGGAAAAATGGGACTAGATATGGCTTGAAGAAATTAGCCTGTAAAATGTTAGCATATTTGTGTAATAGTTTTTTTTTTAACTTGTATACCTTTTTGTCTAGAGACTAGAAAAGAAGTCTAACCTATCCTATGCATGCATGTGTTTATTTGGGTTAAATAAATCTGTATGAAAGTATTTATTTGGAATGTATGTACAATTACAAAAAGAAAAGACATCATTATCCCATTATCATTGAAGTTCTTCAATGTTCCATGTCCCTTCAGGACGTGGGCGATCATGGCTCTCCACAACTTCCTGTCCTTTGTAGCTTTGAGTAAGATTTGTTATTTTGTTATCTCTATTATGCCAGCTAATTACTCAAGCTGGTTAGGTAGGTTATTCACTGCTTTCTGTCCTTCTTGCCTTCAGTATGTCAAATAAGTATCTAATTCTTCAAGGCCTCTTTCCTCATTATGTGCCCTAGAAATTTTAACTCTCTTTCTGATTCTAAGAAGTATCTTTTTTGTTTCCTTTTTCCTTAAAACTTTGTTGTTGCTCTTATGTTCAGTCTGTAGTATTCTCAGCATCCTACTGTAGAACATTTCTGTTATTGGAAATCTCTTCATCTGTGTGGTGATTTACCCACATTCATTGCCAGATTGGAGGATTAATATTACATAATAATTCAGCCCTCTTTTCTTTGGTTCTAATAAAACTTTCCTATTTTTTTAATACTTTGCTTAGTTTTTAGGATGCATCCTTTCTTCTATTCCCTTATTATATTCACTTATGTGCAAATACTCTTGGAAAAGGTATAAATCCATCTCTTCCTTTTGGCTATGGATTAAATGATAAGACTTGTATTTGGAAAAATCATTATGCCCCCACCTCCAAATTGTTAATGCAATATATTTACTCACAAAAAAGAAATTATTCTTACAGTCTAAAATGTCTTGGCTTTATAACCCAAAAATCCTTTTAAAAAAAATCAATCAGTCCATCAACTCACTTTCCTACCTTCCATGGTAGTTCCTGTAGTTTCCTCTCTGTGTCTCTTATCAAAATTGTATCATCTGCATATCCTATGTTGTTAATATTGTGTCCACCAATAATTAATCTTGGTAGGAATTCTAGTTCTCTCAGGATCCTCTCACTTTTAATGATTGTTATTGTTATCCCAGTATATTGTGACTATAATCATGTCAGTGTTACAATTAGATGTTCATGTGAAATCTTTGTTTTATTTTACACTATGTATTAAAGTAATTTAATTGATAATAGTATTTATTTTATAAGAATATATAATTACGATTATATGTGAAACAGTGACTTGTACATTTTTTAAGTATAAAAATATTTTAAATTGTTTGCAGATAAAATAATATGAATATACTGTTTATTAGATAAAATTATTTACAAAATCTACTTGGATTAAATAGGAAAAATTTTGTAATCGGTTTTTATTCATAGCAGCAAGTTTTGTTTGTTTATGTGTATCACCAACTTGAAGCTGATCTTATGGCTACAAATTCACTACTCAAACTACTAAATCAATCCTGCTGAGTCAAGTGTATATAACAAAGAATAAATAGTTATTTTGTTACTGTTTTGAATTGTTGATTGACCTCCTTTATCTGTCCTTATTAGATATGATTGTTGGCTTAATTTACTATTTTAAAAATATCATGTTAATGTTGACACCTATCAAAGGTAAATTAATTAAAATCTATCAAAATAAAATGAAAGTCAACCAACAGCTATAGAATAGAACCAATGAAAATTATTTTAATGATTATTGAATTATTGATAAAATATTATTTAAGTTTTATTTACGATGCATTTGTTTCCTCCAGGCATCTGTAGCTGTTGACACTTTGAGATCAAATGTTTAAAAAAAGATACTTAAACTTGTTCATATCTCATGTGATCAATAATACATGAATAACCAAAAATGACAAAAGCAATTTTTTGGCACCAAATAACTATCAAGTTCCTATACTAAAAAATATATACTGATTGAAAAATTAAAGAGTAATTATAATCCTTTTAACCACCACATTATTTCACTGGCCTGAAAATCATTGGAGGTTGATGATTACAGTTGAATAAATGAGGTGAAGAGAAGGTTGTTTGCCAAGTTGTCAATGCAGATTACTGACAGATAAAAACACCAATCCAGAAAATGAATTTTTTAATTGACTTTTAAAAAACCTAGTAGGAAACTTGTTTTTATGGTTCATTTATTTGATCTTTCATGAATGTAAATTAGTTTTCATCAAATCCTCTCACTGAAAAAAATTCTTTACCTGTTATTGACAATTTTTTTATCATAATTTTTGACATAAGAAAGTGGCTTCCATATAAAGTAAGCAAATGACTGGCTGTGTATGCTCATCTGCTAGAGTGAATAACTAATCCCTCTTACAGAGGCCTACTCAGACTCAGTTTATTCTACAACTATGCTGAGTAGACCTTACTTACAGTTTCTAAGAGAGAGTGCATGATCAACAGTTTTTAAACAAATGCTCAAATCCTCAGTCACAATGTGATTTTGTGCTAGCACAACAATTGATATTTTCGAAATAGTTCTGTCTACCAATTTAACTCACTAGGCTTGGGTCAACCCTGTGGTATTAATAAGACACACTAGGACTATCTCTCCAGGCTAATATTATCAAAAATCACTTCCTTGACAAACTTAACCTGGATCACATGGTCAGAACATTAACATTCTAAAAACTGGACCATATACCCATTATACACTGATTGCATAACATGTAATTAAAAAAAAAAAAAACAATTTGTAAATTCTAAAAATAGGCAAGTCTTCAATTTGAGGATAATTTTAATATTTCTAGATTATTAAAAGACCATTTTATAATAATAAAAAAAAAAAAAACATTTCAAGTATTCCAGCAGAACACAACTATGACAAAAAATTAAATTTTAAAGATCTAAAAAAAAACAATTTTTTAAAAACCTTTTTTTTTTTTTTTTTTTTTTTTTTTTTTTAAATAAAGATGCTAACCTCAATGATAGATGATTGTTCTTAAAAAATAATTTAAAATCTGTAACTAATGAACTTTAACTGCTTGTGAAGTTTTTATCAAATACTTTAAAGAAGTATGATTTTTTACTACATAATTGTTTATATATACAAATTTATAATTCATGCTGTTATTTTTTTCAATTGACATTTCTATAAGATTCCACAACTATTTCTATTTATAATTTTGGATATCAGGTTGATTTTGACAAGACAAAACATTTGTCAGAGAAATCAATTCGGAAAAGGAGACTAGAACGAGAAAAAATTGAAGTAGCTGAAAGAGAGCGGATTGAAAGAGAGAAAAAAGAAAAAGAAGCAGAAGAAAAAAGGAAAAAAGAGGAGAGGTAAGTTTCTGATGAGACTGTTGCTTGATGATTTGATATTTATTTTTCTTAAATATATGCAAAACCAATTACCATATACCTTTTGATAAGATAAAGAAAATAGAAATGACATGATTAAGGTTTTATGTGCCTAAACATAATGCACTAACAATTTGTTTATTTTTTAAATGTGTAATTAAATCTTTAAATGGTCCTATTATATAAATAAAAAGTTATTTGGTTTAATGTAACGATAAAAAATGAATATGGTAGTTGAATTTATTGAAATTTTACAGAAAAAAACGAAACTATTGAATGTTTTGAAGAAAATTAAAAAAAAAACCCAAAAAAACAATAGTAATAAAAGCCAAGTTTTTTCTTTTTTTTTTTTTTTTTTTTAATTTTGTGTTAGTCCTTAACAAAAGCTGATTCCTTGCACAGAATGTTGGTTCTGTGATAAATATAATCTATTTTTAAAAATCTTGCTGCTGTTTTTATTTTTATTTTATTTTTTTAATTCTCTTCCCCATACTTTTAGGCGACAACGTGAACTTGATGAGCAGGAAAAGGCACGTAAACAAGCAGAGAAGCTACAACGACAGGAAGAGCGACGTCGAGGCCGTGAAGATAGACGTCGTGAGAAACAAGCAGCCAAAAGAAAACATGAAGAGGAAGAAAAAATGAATCTGAAACTAGCACAAGATGAGCGTAAATTATTGGTCACCCAACGAAAACTTGACTCTTTACGCCTCATGACTGAACTTTTTAAAAATGTTAAGGTAATTTCTTTGTGCTTGAAGATGTTTTTTTTTTTTTTTAATACATATCACAATATATGAAAGTTTGGCCAAGAGAAGGGGAATGTGTAAGCAGGGATGGACGTACAGAAGTGGAATTGTGGAATTAAGTAGTAGCAATGAGCTTAAGACTGCGTAGACAATCAGTATGACATGGTGACATTTGATTGGATGTGTAAAGGTGCTTTGTGCAGCCAATGGACAATTCAAACAGATGTCACATTCTGCAGGTTGTGTATGCATGTACATCAGTGCATGACAAATCGTGTGATACAGCGCGTGTTGCAGGGCCACATGTACATGCGTTACTGCATGTGCTAATTATCAAGGTCAGCAGCAACCAATGGGCAACATATAAAGGTGTGAATCACACACACATAGCATAAGCTAGGATTAGAAGGTTATGTGTGAAAAAGTAAATTAAATTTTGCCTTTGATTTTTGCACAAAGTGTAAAAAATCAGTTTTTTTGATTTTTTCACCTTCAAGGCTGTAATTTTTTCCAGCCAATTTGGACTCTAAGCTGGCACTGAAGAATTATCTATCAAATAAAAAAAGATCAAAATCTGATGAAAACTGTGGAAACACATAAACAACATCTGATCACACACATTTTGAGAATTAGATAAATGCTGTGGAAATTCCTCTGCTGTTTGTGTTGCAAACTGAACTGCATCCTTTGATAAATACATTGAGAAAATGGCTGATCAAATTTATCATCAATACTTTTATCTAAAGCTTTTTTAAGGGCAGAGTTCCTCAGTTGAATTTTTCTGGACTCTGGTGACTCTCTAGAGGGGGTTAGTGAAGATAAATATGAGAGACTGTTTGGTAAAATTCTAGGGATTGCACCTACATGAAGAATTGGTTTCTTAAGGCTAACAGTAATTGTGGTATCAGTTTTCTTATTGAATGCTGGTGTTTCTTGCCTTATGTCCGCAGGTCAAAAATGCAGTTCACATACCAAGAATGTATTAAAAGGGCAATTACACCCTATTTTAAAACACTTGTCAAAATCTAAGATAGTAAAATAACTATAATAACATGAGGGAATGTTTCAGATGTCCTGGGGGAAAATGTGGTTCATATTTTTATTGAAAATTTCATTAAATTGATAAAATAATGAGTTTTGTAGGTGTTCTAAAATTCAATAACAAAATTCAAAACCATTTAGAAATACTAAATATACTGACACGATCATGTGTAAACTTAAGCAAAATTTAAATTTGTTTTTAAATGTTTATTAGAAATTATTATATCAATTTCCTTTAAGTATTTGTATTGAAGATTTTTATTAAAAAATGACTAGTTTAATTAATTTCTTCCCCCAAATTCAATAAATCTTTTAACAGCTGCCTCATTACTTTCTTTGTTTCAATTTTTCATGAATTATAAAGTTACGAAATTAATTATTAATTCTTTTTACAAATAATATAAAAGAAATTACACACTTTACTAGTTTTGTTTGTTAGAAAATTTTCCCTTTTATAGCACATATCCATGCATCTTATAAATCTTCATTTTTTGAAAATAAAAATAATACATTCACTTTGTTTTACTCCATTTTTATAATTTCCTTATCATTTTGGGACAGCACAACTGTACAGAATTTTCTTTGTAAATTATTTCAGTGAAAATATTTACAAAACAAATAAAAAATCAAGCCATGTCAAAAAAAAACTCAAACAATAAAATCTAATGAAAGTATTTCTCCTAGTTTATACCACATATAGTGACATCAGCACATAAGCCCTGCCCACCAAATAGGCCTTCTATATAGGTGGTGTTGATTTAATGGCTTCAGTTTAGCAAATTTTCCAGAAAATGACAGTCGCTGTTATGATTGCCTCCCCTTACAACAGGGACTTTAGCTGATGTTATTTTTAGTCAAAATAAATGTTGTAAAAAGAAAAGAGTTCGTAACTGTTGTCCAAATTATATTTTTGTAATCTGTAAATATAGGTTATAGAATATTATAGCAATAACTGTAAATATGTTCTTTAGTGGAAGTTATATGCGTATTAAATGCATGATTATTTTTTTTATGATGGAGACAAATATTTTTTGTGGAGTCACGTAATTTGTATGGATTCTTCACTTCAAAGATTTTTTATTTAAATTCATGAGGCATTCCTCAACCAAATGTGTAGTTTCTATTTCACATGCAAACTGAACTGCATCCTTTGATAAATACATTGAGAAAATGGCTGATCAAATTTGTGTACTAGATGGAATTCAAATTATTTAAATCTCATATCTAGATCCTTTACAAATATTTCTGCCTTGTACTTATTCAAAATTTAAATCTTATTCTACTATAAATGTAACTTGTTCCTTATTGGTTGATCTACATCAAAATAGCTGTGCAGTATAAATAGTGATATATTAATAAAAATGTTAAGAAGTAATTTTGGCTTAACTGTGTTTCATAAAAATAACTATTTTAATAATTCTGATTTACTTTTGATTTATCATATTTTTAACCTCCAGTAAATAATATATAAATTCCTAATTGGAAAAGAAATTTTATGAAATTATTTCTCATTTTTAGTTTCTAATAAAAATAATTTGTCTGAATTTCTGGGATGAGAAGTTATTATCTACATTCCCTTTTCTTTTCAAATCATTTCATCCTGAGCAAGGTAATAAACCCACTAAGTTGAAAGGGGGTTATGGAGTGTGAGAGAATATTAGAAAAAAACACTATTAAGGAGAGAGAACAATAAAAGAAGAACTAAGAAAAAAAAAGATAATGAGATTATATTTAAATTTTTGAAGATCAGAGTTAACTAGAAAGCAAGAGGACAGAAGAGAGTTCCCCAAGCAAGAGGTATGAGAAAAGAAACTGTTGGTATAGAACTTATGAGAACATGTTGACATTTCAGCTGTAATGATGAGACCTTGCCACCAATCTAATACTGTGCTTAAATTTGTAAAGTCTACATACCATAGAGGAAAGTTCATCAGCACAATTAACATGAAAGTATTTATAGAAAATGCACAGGGAAGCTACATTATGGCAGTGGGCAAGTGACTGAAGCTAAGATGTCAGGTCAGGACCAATAGGATTGCAGATCCTTCTTTGTATTTTATCAAGAATCTCTAAATAGCAAAAAGCATGAGTAAATGGTAAGCTTATAAATATGTAAGATAGATTCTGACAAGAAAAATTGTCTAGCATGACAAAGTGAACCAACTTAACTAGCAACAGACTTCGCAATTGATTCAATATAATTTTTCCACTTCATTCAAATTATTGTTCTTATCACAATCTTTTGGCTGTTGTGCCTTCCAGACTTCATCAGCTGCTTGGCAATCTGGGTAACACCATAATGTAACTTCCCTATGCCTTTCCTCTAAATATTTTTCTTGGTAATTGTTCTAATATGCTTTCCTTTTTGGTACCTCAACTTTATAAATTTAAGCGCAGTACTAGCTTAGCAGCTAGGTCTCATCCTTTTACAGTTGAAATTGCTGGATGTAGCCATAAGTTCTATGCTAACAGTTTCTTTTTTCATTCTTGCTTGTGGCACACTCTTTTGGTTTCTTACTTTTCAATCGATTTTAAACACAATGTCAGTCATCATCTCTCTCTCTCTCTCTCTCCTTAACTCCTGTTCTTTTCTCCTTAATAATGTTTTTCTTTCCTTTCATGTTTTTTTATTTTCTCAGATTCTTTTACACTTTGTAATCCTTTGCATCTTAGCATCTTTATAGACTTGCTTAGGATGAAATGATTTAGAAATAACCTTCAGGGAATTTTGAATGAAACCCTTTATTTAATCTATGGGGTTAGAGTGTTCTCATTCCATTGTCCATAAAAAGAAATGACAGCCAGGTTTCAGCAGCAGTAGTAACAAAAGAAAGCCCTTTCAGTGGAAACTGAGCAAGCAATAACTGAGCAGTACTAAATAAAATCTAGACAAGATATCTCTAGACATATACAGTGGAATGAAAACAATCTACCTTTATAGATTAAACAGAGGGTTCAGTTCAAAATTATTTGGATCAACAAGCAACAGATGAAGGCTGAAATGTTGTGATAACAACAAAGATGAGGACAATAATCCAAATGCCAATAATATAAATAATCTATTAAAAATATTCAAGAGAAATTTTATGCCAAAAATAATTTTTTGGTGTTAGTATATCAAGTAAATGATCAACATTTTTTTTACAGACATGTTGACCTGAGGTATTAACTTATTTCTCTTTATAGTATTTAATTTTTTTCTTTTCTTAGATCTTGAGTAGTGCAGTCACAAAATAGCATCACCTACATACATGATCATGTAATTTTCTTAATGTTTTGGTCTTTTGTAGAAATTTAAAATAAGCACAATAATATAAAAGTGATGCAAAAGATCTTGCTTGATAATGTCTTTTAAAACAATCTTAATTTTTCTTTGTTGAAGACTATGAAATTGAAAGAGGATGAAGCTCGTCAACTGGCTGCTCTCGAGGAGGAGAAACGTTTGAAGGCAGAAGAAGAAAAACTGCATCAATTGGAAGAGGAGAGGAAAAAGGCTGAATCTGGATTGAGATGGCAGGAAGAGATGAGAGAACGTGAACGATTGTTGCGAGAACGCCTTCTTCAGAAGAGGCTAGCTGCCCAGGAACGGCAAAGGGAAGAAAACAGAGAGGAATTACGCAAGAAACTTACCGAGGGGACAGTCCGCTTAAAAAGTGCAGTAGTCATGAAAAGATAACACCTTTTGGTTGGTTAGAGAACATTTCCAAATTTTGAAACTTTCAGACCAAGTGGGCATAAGTAAGCATTTGTATTTACTAAATTGACAAATGTAAATATCAGTATGTAAATTAAGGATGATTGTATATACATATTTCTACAATTTTTTTATGTGTGTGTATATAATTATTTTTATCTCACTGTCTGTACATGGATCAGTTTTTTTTTTGTTTTGTTTTTTCTTTTTTGTTTTTTTAAGCACTCATTTCAACATGTAAATAAAAAATAATTTTATCCATCTGACATAGGATCTTTGATCTCTAAAAATGTCTTAAATAATTTTTCTCCTTTACTGTTGATGGCATAAATTAGTTTTAAGCTTTTTTTTTTTTTTGTGTGTGTTATAAGGAGATAATAATTACAAATGGCAATATGTACAGGCATAGACTTATGTTCAGATGTGCAAAAACAATTCTAGAATTTCTTTAGCTTTACACAGGTTGATCTTTGACACACATGTATGAGACAAAAAATATGAGATTCACTCAGATAAAAATTTTAATTTCATTAAATATAGGAATTAAGAACTAGCCTCATGGCTGAAATAGTTGCATATTTCCTTCAGGTTAGTGTATAAATCTAAGTAAAATGTAAGATTTTAAATAATGATTTTTAAGACAACAGGCTTTCTTCATTTGGGAATTTGGTGCAATACAATCTTCCTATCCTTATTTTCCTCAATTTGGCCATCTACTATTCTAAACTAATATAGAAATAAATTTACATTTAAATATTTTTAAAAAATTTTATACAAATAATTACAACTACAACTTGGTAAATTTACCAAAGTTAATTTGCATTTTAAATTCTTTTACATACTAAATTCATCATCATTATTATCATAGCTGTTTTTATTTTAAGGTAGACTGTAAATCTGAGAGTTCTCATCTTCAGCATGGCTGCTGCTCACTTCCAAGAATGTCCATCTGCTCAGGCCCATCTGTGTTTCATCAACACCCACAGAACCAAACTGTGGTTTATACTGCAACTGTACTAAGTATTGAGTTTATTTTCATAAAACTTGTTATAGTGGATATTTTCATAAATAAGAATAAGTGTCAACAGATGTAAGCAATTTCACATAAATTTGTTAAAATTTTATATTATTTACATTGTTCGGACTGTTGTCCTCATCTTTTTTTGTCATGTTCATGACATTTCAGCCGTTGTACGCTCCAGCCTTCTTCAGGTGATTGGAATTTCAAACTGAATCTTTTATTTTCGTCTACTGGGGTAGATTGTTCCAATTACCTGAAGAAGGCTGGAGTGTACAACAGCTGAAACGTTGTGAACATGACAATAAAGATGAGGACAACAGTCCGAACAATGTAAATTATTTCAATATCTCATCTCAGAAATAGACAGAAGTTTGTTAAAATCTGATCAGACAAAATCTAAGTTGTTGAGTGATAATCATGAAAACCGATTTTCTAGAGCAATATTGGATGTCTTCTGAAATATTAAGCTATAAATTCATTAAACATTGAAAGTACAGGGTTTGGTCTTTGGGATCTTAATTTGTCTATCTGAAGATGGTTGCAGATTGAGGATGCTTTTCCAATTGTTCAAATCTTTTCAAGAAAAGTTGATCTTAATAAATAGCAAAAGGATCTTTCATGTTTACTGCATGCTGACAAACCATGTTAAAAGCAGACTATTGCAACTGGTCAAATTAATGTATGTATCTTCATATTGCAATTGTTCTATGAATGTATATATGCATATGACTAACACCCATTTAACTAAAATTGGCTGAATTAACACTTTTAACACCAGCACATATTATTTTTTGCATTTGACACATAAAGTATCAAAAACTATTAAATAATCTCCTCTGGCACTAAATGTGTTAATTTTATTGGGCAAACACACTTTTGCCCCAGATACAAATGCAGTCTGGAATAGCCATTCTGGTGGAAATAATTCATGCTGATTCATATAAATGTACCACTGAGAATTTTGATCTAAGTTTGAAAAATAATCATGCTGAGGAGAAAATTATTTGAAAAATAAGCTTGCCATGCCAAATAGATACTAATGTCAGGAAATATTGAGGGAGATAATTTAATTGTGCCAGCATTTGTATTTGGTACATAAGACTATATGATTAGATTTTGAAATGTATTTTTTTATTAATAGTCCAAATGTGCCCTGAGCAAATCACTGATATGAGTTTGTAAATGTTAGATTACAGTAACTAGCTTTGGAGCATAAAAAGTGTGTCACGCCTTTTAATCTTCCAAGGCATTCTAAATCTTATCCTTGTTGGAATGTGTTAAATATACAACTAGAGTACAATACTGGCTAAATGATTAAATAAAAATGAATAGAAAACGTTTATAAATTTTACATGTTTCACTATTTTAACCTCAAAAATTTTAGGGAAATAGGGGTGGCAGTGCTGAGATGTTCTAATTTTATAACAACATCTCCATGCTGCACTATTCCTAAAAAAAATTCTGATGAAACTATAATAGTGAAACATATAAAATTTATAAACATTTTCTTGTTCCTTATTCAGTCATTTTGCTGGATTTAATCCATATTTTCAATTCAATATTGACTAAGCAATGTATTATAAACATTGCTGTAAATTGTTTTTTCCAAAGTGTTTTACAATTTTTAAGTTAACATCTGCCATTGATAAATAAAAGCCCTGTATTATCTTCTGCAAGTTATACTATAAAAATTGATTCCATTTTTTTCTTAGTGGCTGTTTATACATTTAAAAATTTTTTGAGACTAATAAAAACAAAATAAACTATTAACCTAGTGAGGATTTATGTCAAATTTACTGCTGCAGCTAATGTGAAAATATTGTTCTTTAATCAATTATTCATTTTATCTATCAGCAGTTTTTTTTTCTATTCATTAATTTCTTAAGGTAACTGAAGTAAATGAGAAAACTACACATTTATAAGGAAAAGCCATTTATTTGAATTTTCAAATTATAATTAATGAGTTAAATTTGTTGTAGCTCATCAATTTCTTAAGTAGAATCATTTTGCTATACTCCTTGGTAAATTTAGGCTATCATTTTTGCTCTTGGTTATAATTTGGAAGGTTTTATTAAAGAAATGTTACCCTTATAGAAACTTTAGATAAAATAAAAATAAATCTCTCAGTTAAAGAAAATATAAAAAATCTTTTCCTCCTTTTCTGATGTTAAAATTAATGAAAATCAGAATAAAAAGGAAAAATGAAATTCAGAATATCTTAAGATTATTTTCAAATTAAAATATAACTAACAATAAGTTGGATTTTATAGGACTGTTAAAAATATGGATAATATAAAGTTTTGATTTTGATAAGCTGATTGACTGGCCAGTTACAAAGCCACAAACTCAATTTGAGTTTTAAAAAATATATCTTCTTTTTTTCTGCCAACATAAACTTTTGCACATGGCAAAAAATAATATTTTAATGATAATTTTGAGTTTAGCAATAGTTAAAAATATTATACATCGTTTTATTACCATATATTATTTGTCTATTCTTATATATCATGGTGGTTGAAGGAATGACCAATATAACTTTTCAAACATGTCCATGCATGTCCATGACCCTGTGACTTGTATTATAATTGTATTATTTTTAATTATGATAGATTTGTTTCTTATATTTATATGTCTCTAAATATAGACATGTATGTTTTATGTATGTATAATCTTGTACATATTCATTGTTCTTAGCACTAAAATAAGTGACTTTCTTGATTTGTGTGCTACTTGTATACTATCTTTCAAGCTGAGATATATAATAGAATATGTACAGACATGACAAAAGTAAATAGTCACTTCTATTTTCAAACAATCTAAATAGGACCATATTATGAAAGTGAAAATTTGAACTTGCCATGAACTGAATTTAAAGCTTTTACTCTTTCACGCATTGAATTTATCAGATCTGCTATCTTTTCTTCCGGGATATTTAACCAAGCTACATTTTTTTTTTTTTGTAAAAGCTTTTCTTTATATTATCCTTATTTCAAATTAATGCAGATATGTTCATTAGAATTCATGCCAGAAAACTGACTTTATGAAAATAGTTCTGTTTTTGTCAAAATAATCATCAGTGAATATTGAGAGAAGAATGGTGTATATTTTTACATATTTCAAAGGTTTTGAATGACTTATGCTTTAAATTCCTCTTTATATTATAAACAAAACCTTACATGTTTGATAGAGGGTTGCAAGTGGTTCAAACAAAATCCTTGGTGAAACAATCTTCAGGCCTCTGCTTATCTTCAAATGAAGACTTATTTGAAAAGATGTTAATATGCCTAGACTAAAAGAGTTTATCACTATCTCTATTGTTGACTGGATTCAGAAGGGCTTTTATTCTGCTTGCTCAACTATAATAACTTGTATAAGGAAGATACTGATTTGTTATTACTGAGTTGAACATATTCTGCTACATTTACTGCATTATAATAGGATTTTTTTCCAATTGCTCTCTTATCACACACACACATTTTTTTTATTGCATGGTGGATCTGAATATGGTGCAGTAGTTTCCTTTATTAGTGAATTGCATGTTCATGTAGTTCATAATTAAAAGTGGAATTCCATTTTCATTGCTTCAATACTGACTCATTCTACCTTCACATCAACCAACAATAGGATGTTCTCTTTTCAAAATCTGAACTAAGAATCATTGTGAAATGATTGTATAGTTATTTCTCTTTTATGTATTTCTAGCAAATTGGGCAATTGCTCATTTGTAAATGTATTGAATGTCCAACCTGACTAAAATAATGGTTTCTATTTCTCTCTCTGTTTATATGTACAAAAAGATTTGTTTAATGTTGATTATATTATTGGCCGAAAGGTAATTTTAGTATTAATTTCCATATAAATTTTTTCTTATAGTTTTCATAATGTTTGTAACAATAATGGTAATTTTTAGGTGCAATTTTCAGTGAAAAGAAAAAGCAATGTTTATAACTTACCATGAATA